ATCTCGGCATCAGTCTTCCCTGGGTTTAGGAACGTCTCAGTTCACAGACTCCAAACTCTGTTCTCCTTTCTTGATGCTAGATCAACCAGTCAAAATGGTCGGTGCCATTTTTCTAGTGAAGCTGAGCGCTGACGCCACCACCATGGCCCCAACAGATCCTATCTGTCTCTTGAGCCTGACAGGTCTTCCTCCCCAGCTTTGGGCAGCTGAGCCTGCCTTCCCCTCTGACCCTTTAGTGGCAGCCACATACCAGATTGATGAAGGTCTCACCTTTACACTTAAGAAGCTGTGGATGCATGCGTCACTTTTTGAGTATCAGCAGGCCATGATTCCTAGGCAACTGTGCTTCTCATTCTCATTTTTCCCCCTTTTGCTTCTGCTGTCTGGCTCCTTCGTGTCTCAGTGTCTCAATCTTCTTGGTCTAGCCTAGCCTCTGTCCTGCTCTGGCCAATGTTACAATGTTTTTACGTTCCACTGATAAGTCCTTGGAGGGACACCACTCTGCCAGTAAGGCTCAAGGACACACTCAACTGCTTTGCTGTGTGGGTTGGCAAGCCTAGCTCCCTCAGCTAGTGCTCAGAGGCGCCCCCTCCTGCAGGAAGCCTCCTGTCTGAGAGCAGTTGGCTGACTTTCTGTGTCAGCTCCTGTTTGCATCTTGTGCTGGTCTCCTGGTGCAGTTGCTGCTATGGCTGTGCTTCCACTTCTTGCCTTCTCTGCCATCTTTGGTGTTATGTCTGTCTTCACTTTCTGTGGCCCTCACCAGAATTGCCTTTGACATCGACCAACAGGCCTTTGACCAACAGTCTCTTCAAGGAAACACAGGTTTTCACCATTGACGTCAAGTACTGTTGAATCAGCCATAACTCATAGCTACCTTATGAGCAACAGATCTGAACTTTGTCCCATTGTGCACCTTTGTCTTGAACTCTGATATACTTGAGCCCATTGTTACAGTCATTGTGTCAGTTCATTTTGTTGAGGGTCTTGCTGTTTGCCTGACTTGCTCCCTTTCCCAGAATGAGGTCTTTTTCCAAAGACTGGTCCATCCTGACAACATGCTCAAAGTATATGAGGTGAATTTTCACTGTCTTGTCTTTACCACTAAGGAAAATTCTGTTTGTGTTTACTCCAGGACAGACTTGTTTGAAGGTTTTTTTGTAGTCCATGGGATTTTCAGTCCTCTTCTCCAAAACCAAACTTCCTAATCTATTATCCAACTTTTAGATGAATAGGAAGTAATTGCAAATACTGTCACTTAGATCAAGCACACTTTAGTCTTTAAACTGATATTGTTGCTCTCTAGCACTTTGGAGAGGCCCTTGATAACAAATTAATCAACACTGAATCATTTTGGGAAGTAGCATATGATCAAAAACCAAGGGTGATTAAGGAATAAGTTCAAGTTGCACTAAGGGCATTGGCAAAAAAAAAGCTCCAGGAATTGATGGAATACCAGTTGACATGTTTCAGCCAACAGATGCAGCTCAGGATGTGCTCACTAGTCTATGCTAAGAAATTTAGAAGACAGCTACCCAGCCAACTGACTGGAAGAGATTCATATTTGTTCTAATTGCAAAAAAAGGTGATCCAAAGTGTGGCACTTATGGAACAGTATCACTAATATATGCAAGTAAAATCTTGCTGAAGGTTATAAAAAACCCTGGAACAGTCTATTGGGAGGGAACTTCCAGAAATTCAAGCTGGATTTGGAAAAGGTTGTGACCTTAGGGCTGTCGTATTGGCTTGACTGAAAGCCAGAATGCCAGAAGGATGTGTAGTTGTGTTTATTATCAAAGTATACAGCCATTATAAAAGTATACAGCCTCAGAAACAAAGGGAGAATCACTATGAGTCACAATGGATTGGTTGACAATGTAGGTTTGGGGAGAATTGGCTCGATGGCGGCAGAGGGTTTTTGTTTTTTTATTGGAGCAGGAATCAGATACTATTCTATATACTTTATATTTCCTAATTTCTTATTCCTAACAATAACCTCTCATAGTGGGGCCTGCTGTTCCTGTTTATACCAATGAGAATGCCAAGTCACAGAAAGAGGGTCAGCTGTGTCTTTGTTCTGACTTTCCAGCTGTGAGTTGTTGAGTTCAGAAGAGGAAGAGAGCCACACCTAACTATGCACTGGCAAGGATGCTTTATGGTAGAAGCAAATTGTGTGCTGGGGAGCTGAACAATAGGTGGTATTTTGGCCTGATTGTGGAATCTTTCTTTGTAAGTTGAAACATTATGTAAAGAAAAGATTTATAAACATTACCTCCTTTTCAACCCTGAGTGTCCTCTAGGGTGACAACTTGAAAGTCAGGCCTTCCTGCATGTAAACTATTAATTGGAGCCAAAACAAGATGGTTAGTACACAGTCAAACACTCAAACTCCTTGCCATCTAATAACCAATTAATGGCTGATGACCTTCTGTGGATTTTCAACAGCTGTAAATCTCAGTAGGAGATTGTCCATCTTTCTCCCAAGGAGCAGCTGTTGGAGATGAGAGGCAGGACTCAGCCACTTGCCATTGGTTGTCAGCATAACTCAGTATCATTAGGTTGCTAGAGTTCCCTTAGTACATAGTAGTTGCTCAATAAGCAATGATTCTTTTTTTTTAATATTATTATTAAATTTTATTAGTTTCAATGAATATTTACGGGGATTCTGGGCTTTCACTCCTTCATTGCCGCACCATTCTCTCCACCCTCCTCCCCAGTTTGTTCTTCTTCCCCGCCATCCGAATGTCTGTTTTAATTGTC